TCCAGGCCAGTTGATCTGCCGCCCACTTTCATGACACTCCATCAAAACCAAGTCCATGTAGTTGGCAATGTGCATTCTTTCCTGCCTAGGCAGCAAACACTTATTGACAAATTCAAACAGGTCTTTGTGACATAGCTTCATTTCACTCTTATACACAACCTTGGCCTCATTCACTTCTGTACTATCATAGAACTTCCTAGTAATGGCAAGGGCAGTAGGAAGGGAGTCCAGACTTGGTCATCTTTGCCTTGTGTAGTCATCATATCCTTCAGAAGGAATGTCAAGGATTTCACCCAGCCTTTTAGCATCAAAAGACACTTGAACCCCCAACCTTGCCTTGTTCCTTGTAACATTTCGATCTTCATCAAGTTTATTTCTGAAGACCCATTTAGTGCCAATTACTAATCTGTCCTTAGGTCTTGTAACCAGATGCCAAACTTGACTCAGTTCAAACTAATTGAGTTCATCTTGCATTGCAATTACCCAGTCTGCATCCTGCAAATCCTTAGCAACATTTTTAGGTTCAATAAGAGATAGGAAAGCATCAAAAGCACACAAATTCTTTAATTGAGATCTAGTTTTGATTCTAGAAGTTGGGTCAATAATTATGTTCTCAATGGGATGAGAACTTTGATACTTGTAAGGTTTCACAACCAATTGGTTTCTGCTTGATGTTTCTCCTATGTTTTGTTGCGGAGGACAGGCTCATGGACAGGTTCCATCTGGGAGTTAGATTGAGTTATTCTTTGTTCAGTTCCCCCTGGATGGAAGGACCTGTTCCATCACCTGTTCCTTCTTCTGGTGCAGCTTCAGCTTGGGCTGTGACTTTATTTAAACCTTTTACTAGCCCAATAGCTTCATCTTCATGTTCCTGTCTCTCAGAAAGAATGTTAGTTTCATCAAAAACTACATGTACACTTTCTTCTACACACATAGTTCTTTTGTTGTACACTTTATAAGCTTTGCTATGTGAAGAATATCCCAAGAATACTCCCTCATCACTTCTGGGATCAAACTTACCTAGGGAGTCCTTTCCATTGTTGTGCCAAAGCACTTGCATCCAAATGCCCGAAGATGGGATATATTTGGTTTTCTCCCTTTAAGTAACTCATAGGGAGTCTTCTCTACAAGAGGTCTAGTCATGCACCTATTAATGATGTAACATGCAGTGTTTACAGCTTCTGCCCAGAAGCTATGGGGCAGTTTACTAGAAAGAAGCATAGTCCTAGCCATATCTTCAAGAGTCCTATTCTTTCTTTCAACTACTCCATTTTGTTGTAGAGTCCTAGGGGCAGAAAAATTATGATCTATGCCATGCTCATCACAAAAATCAGCAAACTTAGCATTTTAAAATTCAGTTCCATGATCAGACCTAATTGATGCAAGTTGATTACCTAGTTGTTTCTGAGTTTTTCCAACAAAGGAAGTAAACATGTTAAATGCTTCATCCTTAGATGTTAAAAAGAATGTCCAAGTAAACCTAGAGTAGCCATCAACAAGCACCATCACATATTTTTTACCACCTCTGCTTAATATTCTCATTGGACCACAGAGATCCATATGAACCAGTTCCATCGACCTGGTCGTGCTTACCACTTTCTTGCATTTAAAAGAGGATCTTACCTACTTCCCCCTTGCACAAGCCTCACCAACTTTGTCTTCCTTGAACTTGATGTTTGGCAACCCTATCACCAAGTCCTTGGAGACTAATTTGTTGAGTTGATTTAGACTTGCATGACCAAGTCTTTTGTGCCAAAGGAGGGGATCATTGTCCAACACACTTAAGCAAGTGAGTTCATTTTCTGAAAGAGTGGACAAATCCACAATGTAAATATTGTTCACTCTTTTTCCCTGCAAAACAATCTTATCAGTGGTAAGATTTATCACAAAACATTTGGTAGAGGTGAATACTACCAAGTTACCTCTGTCACACAATTGTGATACACTGATTAGGCTATATTTCAAGCCATCTATCAAGTAGACATTCTCAATGGAGTGTGAGTCTGTCTTACCTACCTTTCCAACCCCAACCTCACCTTTCTTACCATTTCCAAAGGAGAGGTTCTAAGTGAAAGGAACTGTTTCTTACTTCCAGTCATATGCTTTGAGCATCCACTATCCATTGTACCATATTTGGCTGCTCCCTCACTTGGACCTGCAAAGGAAATCAGGGGTTAGTACCCAAACTAGTTTGGGTCCCGTTTCTATAGGCAAATGGTGAATTAATCTTTTAGCCATCCTGTAGCCTATTTTTCCTTAGACAAAGTTTTGTTCTTTTGACTGGCCTTTTCTTTTGCAGTGCACTCACTTTTGTAGTGACCAGTCTTACCACAGTGTGTACAGATTTTGTTCTCAGGAAGTGTGATGTACTTGCTTTTGGGATCCCACTTAGGTGCAGGGGTCCCATAGTTCTTGTAGCCATGATAGAGCATCAGAGGACTTATTCCATTTACAGGTTCTGTCTAGTTCATGCTTAACCTTGCTTAGATCTTCTTTTAGGACTCTTATCTGCTCGTCCTTTTGTACAACTCATCCTTTAGCATTCTTCTTCATGGTAGCCAGGGGACCATCGGTAACAATGTCCTAGAGTTCATAGTCCTCTCCGATGATGTGATCTCTCATCCTGTTTTTCCACCAGGAGTAGTACTGGCCATTAAAGAGTGGAGGCCTAGCAATGGATTGTCCTTCCCAGTTTCCAGGTGGTGCACTCATCTTGATTTGTTCCTAAGGTGTTAGCCTCTTCAAGGATAACCCGCTCTGATACCAATTGATGTTTTATACTTCAATACCACACAAGAGGGAGGGTGGTTTGTGTGGGACCAATTTTTCGCTTAAGTTGTTTATGGAAGGACCTGGTTCTTCTACGTGTTCCTTAACCTACTATTGAAGAAATAATATGTGCGGAAAGTAAAGAACACAAGTATTTTACGTGGAAAACACCTAGCTCTATAGGTGAAAAAATCACGACCTACTTTCCAGTAGGATTTTCCCAAACTCTCCACTAAAATCATTGAGCCAAAAACTGCATTTACAAAAACTCTTTTGTAAACCTAGGACTAACTCTAATCCCGTTGTAGCACACAACCTCAACTGTTGCGACAACTTCAAGTTAACTCTAACTTGAAAACTCTGAGTACCTAATACAATTGCTTCTAGATAAAGCTGAAAGGTACAATATGAAAACACCTACTACAATTGAACTAGAATAAAAGACAGACACTTGGAACTGGTTCTTCTATCTGGTTCAAGTAGCTTCAGGTTTGCACACTTGAATCACACACAAATTGCTTGCAAAATTGCCTTGCTATTTTGCTCTCAGTTCACGTTTAACTTCTGTTTATGTGCGTTACCTGTAAAAGAGAACAACACTGATATTTATAGAGTTAGTAAATAGAGATTGACTAGAATTCTGATGCTACTCTTCCTTGGTGGAAGAGTTCTAGTTGATCTCAACCTCTAACTCCTTCCCTTTCTTAACCGTGTTCTCTTTGAGTAAGGAGTCTTTCTCCTTATCCAATATGCAACTTTTTCGATCAGGATCATGAGATATCACTTCTGTTAAGTTAGGTTTATCTCCTTCACGTGCATCTCACATGCTTGAGTTGACCATATCTGTGTTTTACTAGGATGGACCTGGTCCATGTCTGAGTTCCTTTGTCAATCTTCAACACTCACCTTTACTTGGGCCAACAAATTCCCTCTTTTTGATGATGACAAACTTTGTGCTTTTCATTCACTTAGGCCCTGTCAGAACTTAACTCAATCATCAATGCAAAGTTAGAAATTTTTTACTTATCATCAAGGACCAAGTTCATTAGGTTATAAACATCACTATTCAGAATACAAAGCACAATATCTTTTCACGATCGTTAAAACCACATTACAAGTTTAATTGTTATCCAATCTTAAGGGTAAACGCTGAATTAAGTCCACAATCGCCAGGTAAAATAAAACAACTCTAAGGGTGTGTTTGGTATAACGGAAAATGTTTTCCAAAAAAATATTTTCTTGAAAAACAAGTAGTAATCTTATTCATTTTCCGGTGTTTGATACGCAAATTAAGGAAAATGACTTCTCAAGAGTATTCATAAATAATTTGGTTATAATAAACATGAAGCCATAAACTTTCAAACCAACAGCCTTCCAAACCCACATTTTTTATAAACTAACGAGCCGGTAAACTTTCGAAAACCGCGAAATTTCTAACCCGTAAACTTCCAAACACATAAACCTCCGAACTCATAACTTTGGAACTTCTAAAATTTTGAACCTTTAAACCGATAAATAAAAAAACTAAAACTAAAAAATATATTAAAAAATATTTTTTTTGGGGGGGGGGGGGAGGGGGGACGCAGTTGGGGGTGGGTGGTGCAGAAAAACGAAAAATAGAAATTTGAAATTGCAATAAAAAAAGGTAAAAAATAATATTTTTATGCGGGAGGGGTGGGGTGGGGTGGGGTGGAGGGGTAGTAGGGTGGGTGGTAACGGACAAAATTGAAATTTGAAATAAAAAAAAAACCTTTTTTTGAGAGAGGGGGTAGGGTGGGTTGGTGAGGGTAGGGAAGGTTGAGAAGGAGTTTTAAAAAATGTTTTCGCTTCTCTTAATAAGGAAAACATTTTCCTCCAATTGGAGGAAATTGAGTTCACAGGGAAAATGTTTTTCAAAAGATATCATTAGTATATAAGTTGAAGCTCGTCAATATAGTGGTCGTTAATCAAGATGATCAATAAGCAAGTTTAGCGCGTCCTGGCTGTCTCAAAGTGATTGCCGAAAGAAGATTAATCTATAATGTAAAGCATAAGAATCACTGCCACCTTGTTGTTTCAATTTCTTGTGGTGGCGTAGAGTTGGAGGCATATTTATTGATTTCAGCAAAGAGGAAGGATATTCTCCAATAGTGATCAACCAATTTCTTGTTCTAGCTACAGAACCTAGGTGTAAAAGTCAATTAATTAATCGCATAACTGTATATAAATGTATAGCAAGTTAGAGACACAAACCAATCTCATCAAACAAGAGAAAAAATCAACATGGCCTCTGACAATCTTTTAGTGCTCAATGCTCTTGACACAGCACGTACCCAATGGTACCATGTCACTGCCGTTATCATTGCTGGAATGGGATTTTTCACTGATGCTTACGATCTCTTCTGCATCTCCACTGTCTCTAAACTCTTAGGCCGCCTCTATTACTATGATCCTGCCACGAAAGCCCCGGGCAAATTGCCTCACATGGCTAACAATTGGGTGATTGGAGTTGCTTTAGTTGGTACTCTATCTGGCCAACTCGTATTCGGCTGGTTAGGAGACAAACTTGGTAGGAAAAAAGTCTATGGACTCACTTTAATTCTCATGGTCGTTTGTGCACTTTGTTCCGGCTTGTCCTTTGGCTATAGTGCAAAATCTGTAATAGGGACGCTCTGTTTCTTCAGATTCTGGCTTGGATTTGGAATTGGAGGAGATTATCCTCTTTCTGCTACAATCATGTCTGAATATGCTAACAAGTCAACTCGTGGGGCGTTTATTGCTGCGGTGTTTGCTATGCAAGGAGTTGGGATCATCTTCGCGGGGCTCGTTTCAATGATTATCTCCAATGTGTTTTTAATCAAGTACGGAGGTACACCATTTGATCAGGATGAAATTTTGTCCACGGAGCCTGAGGCCGATTATGTTTGGCGGATCGTGTTGATGGTCGGGGCTCTTCCAGCACTTGTTACCTATTATTGGAGAATGAAGATGCCTGAAACAGGGCGTTACACTGCTATTATTGAGGGAAATGCTAAACAAGCAGCGATTAACATGGGGAAGGTTCTTGATATAGAAATCCAAGAAGAAGGTGACAAATTGGCCCAATTCAAGGCAGCTAATGAATATCCTTTGCTCTCCAGTGAGTTCTTCCAGCGCCACGGGCTTCACTTAATAGGTACAATGACAACTTGGTTCTTGTTGGACATAGCTTTCTATAGCCAAAACCTCACTCAAAAGGACATATTTCCAGTCATGGGACTCACTAGCAAAGCCCAAAACATTTCAGCTTTGAGGGAGATGTTTGAGACATCGCGTGCCATGTTCGTGATTGCCTTGCTTGGTACTTTCCCTGGTTACTGGTTCACAGTGTTCTTCATCGAAAAAATTGGCAGGTTTAGGATACAATTGATGGGGTTCTTCATGATGACAGTTTTCATGGCGATCATTGGAGTCAAATATGATTACCTAAAGACTAAGGAGCACAAATGGACATTCGCAACTCTTTATGGCTTAACTTTCTTCTTTGCCAACTTTGGACCCAATTCGACAACATTTGTGCTCCCCGCGGAGCTCTTTCCGACAAGAGTGAGATCCACTTGCCACGCACTGAGCGCCGCATCTGGAAAGGCCGGGGCGATGATCAGTGCATTTGGGATACAACAATACACGCAAGATGGAAATGTTCATAAAATCAAGAAAGCCATGATGCTGTTGGCTGTCACAAATATGCTTGGATTCGCTTTCACTTTCTTGGTGACTGAGACAAAAGGCAGGTCACTGGAAGAAATTTCAGGGGAGGATGGCAGGCAGAATGAGACACAGATGAAGACTAGTAAGCCTGTTTCTGGCCACCAGGATGATGGATGGGAATGATGTATAGAAAAAATGAATCAATAAATGGGCGAAGAACCGATTACTTGGTTTGGTTGGTCACGCCCCGTTTTGCTTGGTAGCTTTTCAATCACTTTTATGTATAATAAGAGCTTTAACATGATAAATCACCTATTACCGCAAGTAAAATTACACTGCTAGCGTAAGTTGTTTTTACACTGTCAATATATATATATAATTAGTTAAACTCAGCTTTAGTAAGCTGGCCATTGGCAAGTAATTGGCCAGGAGCTTTTGCATTTTCTTTCTCCTTTCCGACCCTTCCCCAGGGGTTTTGTTTCCTTATTTCTATGATAAATGATAAATGTGCTAGTTATATATTCAATCTTTTTGTTAAGAAATGGATGCTTTTTATAGTATCTTCTCACTTTGCATAAAAAAACCAAATGTGTCTCACTACTATAGGTTTTATTTCATGCACTTTGTAATGGAAAGGAATTAGTATACCATTTACCAATAACTTCTCCAGAACCATAAATCCTTCTGTTAGATTAATCCATTAAAAAGTTGGAATTCTTAGAACCTCAAAATTAACTTAAATAGGAGTAGAACACGACTACAACTATAGGATATTGTAATGAACCTCGTAGATTGGACTGGTGAAACCCAATTCAGATACCTTCTTAAAACCCTTTTGGTGATGATCATATTACAAAAGTCCAAACATTAAAGATTTTGTCCACTTTATCAGCGCCTTATTTTTTTTCTCCTCATCCACTTCCCTCCTAACCCGCACCGAGTGTTTGTGCCCAATCAATAAATAATCGGAACGTCTCAATTTATTTAGCTATAATTTTTAATATTTAACCATAGTTACTTATATGTATTTTGTACTTGATCTTAAATGATAACTCAACTATCCCAAATTATCTCCTAAAGTCACTTTTCTTTCGTTTGTAACAACAAAGTCACTGAACTATGTCTATTGCATTAAAAAAAATAAGAAGAATATAAATGTTTATAATTAAGAGCGTAAAATAGGTATTTGACAATCCAAAATTTGAAAAATCTAGTTGAGTGACCTTCTGAGTGCAATAGGCATAGTTTAGTGATTTTGTTGTTATAAACGAAAGAAAGGTGACTTTAGGAGATAATTTGGGATAGCTGAGTGACCATTTGAGTAATTGACTCGATAAAAGATGAGAAACTTTTATAACCACATAAATACTCTTGCCTCTTTTTGACTTGTTTAGGACCACAAATTTCAAAAGTCTTCATTTTTTTTCTTAAACTCCGTGCCCAGTCAAACAGATTCACATAAATTGGAACGGAGGGAGTAGTTAATAAAACCTTGCCATATTCCGTTGTGATCCTAAGTTAATGTCAATCGATCACCGAGGAATCACAAGAAGGTATAGAAAACCCAGAAACCAATTGGGAAAAACTCTAGCCTTTCAGCTACCTGTAGGCATTATCATTTATGTCAAAAAAAAAAAAAAAAAAAATTCCACAGATTATACAACAAAACAAAAATGCAGTTTAATAGGAATTATCGTAAAGAAAAAAGAAGGAAACAAAAATAGAAGACACAGACTACTTCTCGTTCCTAGTACTTTCGTTTCATATACTCAATAAAAACATAAAGAAAATTCTACATTTAAAGTAGGTATATTTGTAATTTAATTTTGCTTACTCCTTAGTAGCAAGTAAGTCCTATGCTTACTGCAAAACTTGTCTCCCACAGACCACAGTATGCCTTCGATCGAGTTTTTAGCATAATACCTTACACTAACTTTCCATTTGCATCATTGGAAAAGTAACCCGCAACGAAAACAAAATGTTAAAACAAGAACTGCGGGAAACAAAAGAAGGACAAATTGACGGCAACCCTAAAGCTTTCTAACTTAGTTACTACGACTTTACTCCCTTTTAATTTTTTACTTATTAGAACTAGGGCTCCTAATATATCTTAATTTTCCATGATTAACTTAACTAAATTGGATGTGAACGCCCCCTTCTAACCTTATTTCTTCTATAATTATGTAATTTTTATTTTATCCTTCCTAAAATGAACTCGTTACGATTTTGCAAAAAACAAAAAAAAAAAAATGAATAGATGAAGTGGTGTATTGTAAATAAAAGAATAATTGAGGAGCAAATTAGGTATGCAAATACAAAGAATTCAATTATATTCTTTCCTGTTATTGTTAACTAGTACGGTGCGCGGATCGTATTAATATAAAAAAGAGGAGAGAGAATATCTATCTATCTATACTATATAAAAAGCACGAAGGCCCTTAGTGAAATATCGTTCGCCTTTTTTACCCTTTAAAAATAGATTTTACATTGGACAAAGTCGTAATTTAAGTTATTTTCCTAATATTTTGGACTTCTAAATTAACTAAAATTCCAACTAGATCTCTAATTTAATAGCTTTAAGATCTCTATATCATAAATACAGGTCATAAAAATTACAATATTATTTATCGGTTAGCCTCAACTTTGAACAACCTGCAATACTCCTAGGGTTATAAGACTCAATATATCCCTTCACTGCGAGATGCCGTCAGATTCAAGGTAAATTATGCCAATTATTCCTTTGAAATCATGCAAAAATTTACCATTGCAAATTAAATCATTATCGTTTTTAAAGAAGTTTTTCCTAATCAATCTTGTGGATTACACTCTGCATTCACTGTTTATACACAAATAGCCAGACAGATAATCCGTATATATAGATTATACACGATTATACATATTATATATGAATTATCTACATATCTATCTATCTATTCTATATCTATACTATATTAAAAGCACGAAGGCCCTTAGCAAAATGTCGTTCACCTTTTGTTACCCTTTAAAAAATAGAGTTCATAATGAATAAAATAGTCATTTTTGTTATAAAATAATATTTAGAAGAAGAAGATCAACTAAAACTTNAATCCCAATATTTAAGACATTAAAACCAACTAAAGTTTTCCTTTTATAATTCAAGGTCCTAATATTTAAGACCAAATATAAGAACTAATTCGTTGAAATACGTTTTAGAAATTCAAAATTCAATGTTTAAAATTTCACCGCTAAGCATTATATTTGGATTCAAGAGATTAAAGGCAAAAATTGAAGAACTACTACTACTTTTTAATTTGAAGAAAAGAACAACTATTATTAATTCTTCTTTTTATTTTCTAAGTACAATTTTGTTGATTATTCCAAACGTAAATTGCTAGACGAGGAATTGGAGTGAAAATAAGCAAATATACAACTAACATAAGCATTTAATTTGTACTCCCTCCATTTCAAGTTATTTATCATAATTTCTAAATATAGGTGTTTCATATTATTTGTCATTTTAGAAGTTTAAGACAAAATTAATTATTTTTTTCATTTTATCCTTAGAAGTGATTGTTCTTGATGATGAAGATGTCACATAATTAAATAAAGTAAATGTTCAATAAAAAGATATTATACTTTAGACATAAATAAGGGTTAAATAGTCAAAAGAAATTCTAATTAATGTTTTTTTTTTTTTGGTAATTTACTTTATTCCACGTAAAATATATACACGTATATCTCTAAGTTTAGACATTCATCCCCAAACTTAGTATCAAACTACTTCAAAGCCTACTCTAAGGATAATAGTTGAGCATTTGCATACTATTCCTCAAACTACTTTGCCTATCACATATACAATGAATATCTCTAACTACTTGTTTAGTAATATCATCACTATTTCTCTTAGTCTTCTGAAAAATTCTTCTGTTCCTTTCCAGCCATAAATGGTATACTGTTGCAGTCATTCCCAACCTATACAATACAGATTTGGTACCGTTGCCTTTCATTTGCTCTGTTGCCCATTTGATCTCCTCATTCCAACACTTTGGTTTACGATTGATGCTCAGCCATCTAAGTATCCTACTCCATACAGCTTCAGAAAACGAGCAGGTAAAGAAGATATGGTTGTGGCTCTCCATCTCTTGTTCGCACAAAGCACATTCTGGATTGACTTGCATTCCCCATTTCCTCAATCTATCCTTTGTATATAGACTTTCCTGCAGTGCCAGGTACATTATAAATTTCCACTTTGGACAGCTTTTGTTATTGCACATCAGTCGACTCCAGCTTACCTTCAGGAAGTTCCCTCTTAGTTGTATGTACATATCTCTAATGGAGAACGAGTTACTCTGCATTACCCTTCCTGTGTCCAACCCTGCTTCATTTAAGTATTTTCCAGCTTGTAATACCTTCCTCATGATCCAGGAAGCTTGTTTTACATCAACTTCCCACGACTCCCTTCCCTTTAAGTAGTATGCATGTACCCATTTGATCCACAGTTTATCCTTCTTCTTTCCCAAGTTCCACAAATGTTTCAATATAGCTGCCCTATACCATGTATTAAGGTCTGTGATATTCAAACCTCCCTTGGTTTTTGGCCTGCACAATTTGTTCCATGCTACTAGAGCCTTCCTGCTTGAGCTAGTATCACCTGTCCACAAGAATTTTTTACATATGGCTTCCACCTGTTGTATGATTTTCCTTGGCAAAGGAAAAATTTGGGACCAGAATGACTGTATAGCAGTTAGAACACTCTTGATCAGTTGTAACCTTCCTGCATAGCTCAGAAATTTCACTGTCCACTGTCTTATTTTCCCTAGCATTTTATCCAACAGTGGTTGGCATTGGCTTACTGATAGCCTTTTAGTACTTAGTGGAACACCTAAGTACCTAAAGGGCAGTTCACCTGTGCTGAATCCTGTGATATGTGTAATCTCTTGCTGTACTTCTGTTGAGACTCCTCCAAAATAGATGCTACTCTTATTTTGGTTTGCCACTAGACCTGAAGCTTTTGAGAAGCTGCTGAAACATTCATACAATAATTGCACAGATACTTTGTCTCCTCTGCAGAAAAGAAGCAGATCATCAGCAAAACCGAGCTGGATAATACCCAATTTTTCATATCTTGGGTGATAATTGTAGTTAGGTTGTTCTTTTAGGCTCTTCAAACTTCTTGCCAGATAGTCCATTGCCAAGACAAACAA